TAAAGAAGTCTCGGAGTAACAACAAGGTTGTGTCTGGGAAGAGCGTTCGAAACGAAGAAGTACCAAAGCATTTGAAATTCAAATGGAAGCGGGACTTTCGAAGTTTGAAAGTTATGTGCTGGAGCATTTTGGGACACGTGGAAAGACGAAAGAGGCATTGACCTGCATGTTCTAGACGTGGCATAATCCTATAGCAAGACCGTTATGGTCGAATTAGTATAAATAGAAGTCTTAGTATTAGGATTTCGTGTGTCATATCTATTATACAAAATACTCAGTAACATTCAAACTACCACATGGCAAGGGAAACGAATGCAAGAGAAATGTATGTATGATAGCACCATGTATTTTTGATTTAATGAAAACCTTTTACCATTTCCAGCACTTTCCTTTATCCTTTTGTCAGATAACATTTACAAGTTTTCTCATTTACAGTCTTTTCACTTCGAAATCTCTTCTTCAAAGTTTTACATTTTAATGTTTTCTTCATATTTCAAGCACTTTATATTTCAGAAAACTGTCATATTTTCCATACCTTTACCTTCATGTCTTATCCTTCGAATGCATATTTTTACTTAAAGTCATTTAAAGATTTCTTGCATTAAACGCTTTCTTCATATTTCAAACCTTTTACGTTCCAGAAATCCTTTATATTAACTGTTTTGTAAGTCGAAACCATTTGCTTCACTTTTATGCAGTTTTACATGTCTTTACAATTAGCATTTATTCATGTAACTTAGTTTTCACACACACATTTTGATTACATCTTTAGACTTAGAGAGAGAGAGAGAAATCGAAATAAGCCAAACACATATACAATATCAACCATGAATATCTGTTCGATCGTGAGAGTAACCTTAATATCCAAGGAGTCCTAGGATCAATCTAGTCGATCCTGTGAGTTACCAGAGGAATTGAATAACAGTCAGAAAGATTATTCGATAGTTTGGAAGACTAGCGGTTGTTTACCAGAAATCACTAGAAACAGTTATGCATGTGAGACGTCTTAGAAAAAACAATTAAAAATACAAGATCATAGTACCTCGATGATGCTTCAGATGTTTCCTTATAAATGATCTTAGTCCCTCAAGAAAAATTCTAAGATATATCACAATATCGCTATCATATCTATACGATGACCTACGCCCGTCCCTTTACACACAATGATGCGACTTCTTACCAAATCAATGGTAGGATAACATCTAAAGGAGGATAAGAACAAAAGACTTTTGAGTAGGTAGGAACGTTCTTAGTTGCTTGCTCATTTTCAAAACAAACATCTTTTCAAATGCACCAACACTTTCCATGAAATATTTTCAAAATTCCACCACTTTGTATACATTCTCATAAAAACGAAAATCATTGCAAAGTTTATCTAAACGAAGGCGTTTTTCAAAAATAATTTCAAAAACCACCACAAAGCATACATTCAAACAAAACAAGTGATCTAGCAAGCAACTAAGAGCCCATAGGTAACTATGGATGAAAAGGGTGATAACACCTTCCCTTTTCGTAATCTACCCCCCGAACTCAAGAAAATAATCTCAAAGGTCTTTCCTGTTCTTTTCATCTTTTCCTTCATTGGATAAAAGAAAAGTCGGTGGCGACTCTTGCTATCCGTAATAATTGAGATCAAACGTAAAACATCCCAAGTCATTTCTCCCACCGTGTTACATAACTGGTGACTCTGCTGGGGAGAGTTTAAAAGTGGGGTTACCTTAGGGCTAGATCACCTGTAAATGCAAAATATAAGTTCAATCGCAAAACATAAGATCGAACGTAAAAAATAAGATCAAACGCAAAGTGGAAACACATGCATAACATTAACTCATTTCAGGAAAACTTAAAAACTTTTCAAACACAAGGGAAATACAAAAAACATGTAACTTGTTGAAACAGAAGCATAACAAAGCAAAGTAAGTATTTTTGTTGTAACACAAGAGAAGTACAAATTTTAACCTAAACTTAAGTACTATTTGAAGACAACGGAAGTACAACAAACACATAACTCTTGAAATAGAAGCATAATAAAGCAAAGTAAGTATGATAGTTGTAACAAACTTAAACATAAAAAAAATCAGGAATAAACCTCGAAGCTATAATTAGTGTTGAATGTTACCTCTTTGTCTACGAATATCATTTCAAAGTCTTCCTTGTTGTTGGAGAGTATATTCCATTTATGGGATACTCTGACCACCATCTTCTATAACTCTTTGGTATCGTTGATGTCGATAATTTTCTCCAACAGTCTTGCCATGTAGAAAGATCGAAGGAAGCCGCAAAAGATGGTTGAGTTTTGAAGATGGAAAATGGTTTAGGGTTGAATAAGAAGAAGGTTGAGTTTTGAAGCTGAAGAGAGAGAACGAAATGAGAGAGAATTGAAATGAAGGTTGAGCTTTTAGTGGTTAATAGTAGTATTGAAATCAATAAAACCAAAATGAGAAGTAAAAGTGTAGGTTTGAAATAGGAAAAGACTCATGATGTGAAATAGATCAGTAAAATAATAAGAAATAAGATATGTGTCTTCCCAACAAAAAAATTTATTAGTATTTTATTAGATTTTGTTTTGTGCATTGTAAACAATGGAAATGGAAACAATTGGAAAACACAAGTAAGACCATGTGCAATGGGTATGTTGAGTTTGAACTCAACATGCAAAATCTCCTCCAATGGGTATTGAGAGAGGTGTTGAGTGTGTGTTGGAAGAGAGAGGTGTTGAGAAAACTCAACACAATTGAAGCTGACCAAGGGCATGACGTGGCAGCGCCTCATTGGTCTGGGCCAGGCGCGTGTAGCCCACTCGCTGGGGGTGAGAGTGGGTCTTAATCCACGCGGAGAGAGAAAGAGAAAAGGGATAAGTGCAACCACGTGGCTGTGCTTGATTGGCTGACCAGATTTTTATCCATTTAATACTTTGAACTCAATTATTTCGTTGCAAATTAATTTTTTTTTTATTTTTTTTTAACCAAAATTCATGATTTTTTTTCTCTATAAATAGAGACTTGGTTCATTTGATTTGGACACAGAAAAAAAAACTAAGTTTTTCACTATCTTAATTTTATTATTAGTGTTTATTTTGAAGTTAAGTGTCTTTTTTTAGTGAAATGGATCCCAATAATCATTTTAACACTCAAAATTCTGCTAATTTTCCATTTAACCAAAATCCCAACAATTTTCCAAATCCCAACAATTATCAAAATCCCAACTATTATCAAAATCCAAATCAATTTTCCAACCAACATCCTCAAAACATACCTAATTTTGGTTTTCCACCAAATTTCAACCAGACATCCTCTGTTCCAAACTTTCAAACATATTATGGATCTATGCCGAGAAATCCATCTCAAACACCCCCGTTTAATGGTTATGTGACAATGGCGAATGCAAATTTTCCAAGTGGTGGTGTACCTGAATTTCCCGAGTTTTCAACACAACTAACTATTGGTGGCATGATTGTTTCTAATGAAGTCGGTCCGAATTCAGAGGATTCAACTCCTAAGAGCAGGAAAACTCAGCAACCAGCATGGAACACTGAACAAAATTTGGTTCTAATTAGTGGGTGGATTAAATTTGGAACAAGCAGTGTTGTCGGGAGAAACCAGAAAGGTGAAACATATTGGGGTAAAATTGCTGAGTATTGTAATGAGCATTGCTCATTCGATCCTCCGCGTGATGGACCTGCATGCCGAAACCGTTTTAATTATATGAACAAAGTGTTGGGTAAATGGATTGGCGCTTATGATGGCGCTAAGCGTATGCAAGGAAGTGGTTGGTCGGAGAATGATGTTTTGGCAAAAGCGCAGGAATTATATGCATGTGGGAAGAATGTTAAATTCACTTTAATGGAAGAATGGCACGCTCTCAGTGATCAACCACGTTATGGTAGTCAAGTAGGAGGAAATATTGGCTCAGGAAGTAGTGGATCTAAGAGATCTCGCGAGAGTGATGCATGTGGCTCAAACACTGTAGAATCCAGTGCTCGTCCTATAGGAAGGGAGGCAGCTAAAAAAAAGGGTAAAAAGAAAAGCAAGGAATATGCCTCGGAGGTGGTGGACAAAGAATGGGCTGAATACAAAGAATTCAAGACGAAAGAGCTTGAACGATTGGACAACATAGCGTTGATGCAACAGCAGGCTAACAATATAGCCTTGGAGAAGACTAAAACCAAGAAAATGAAGATGTATCTAAAGCTAACTTCCGAAGAGCATCTAGATGACCGGAAGAACCAGCTGTTGAAAAAGTTGGAGGCAGAACTGTTTGATAATTAATTTCAATGAAGTATTTGTCAGTGTTGTGTTTGCTTTAATTATTGTTGTTTCAATATGCCAGTGTAGTGTTTGCTTTAATTATTGTTGTTTCAATATGCCAGTGTAGTGTTTGCTTTAATTATTGTTGTTTCAATATGCCAGTGTAGTGTTTGCTTTAATTATTGTTGTTTCAATATGCCAGTGTAGTGTTTGCTTTAATTATTCCTTATCTGATAATTAACTCTATACAATAAATTATTTCGAATCCGTCAGTGGTCCACCACCCAATTCGAATCTATTCCTTATCTGATAATTAACTCTATACAATAAATTATTTCGAATCCGTCAGTGGTCCACCACCCAATTCGAATCTATTCCTTATCTGATAATTAACTATATACAATAAATTATTTCGAATCCGTCAGTGGTCCACCACCCAATTCGAATCTATTCCTTATCTGATAATTAACTATATACAATAAATTATTTCGAATCCGTCAGTGGTCCACCACCCAATTCGAATCTATTCCTTATCTGATAATTAACTATATACAATAAATTATTTCGAATTCGTCAGTGGTCCACCACCCAATTCGAATCTATTCCTTATCTGATAATTAACTATATACAATAAATTATTTCGAATCCGTCAGTGGTCCACCACCCACATCCATTTATATATAGGGACTCATACATCCATTTATGTACCAATATCCCAAATCCCATCCAATCTACCTCCAATATCACAAAAAAATGGATCCATCACAATATCATTTTGATATCGCAGCCTACAATCAAAATCGTGAAATTGAAGAAAATTATATAGTCAATCGATTTAGAGAGCGTAGAAACAAAATATCGGAAGATAATGCACCTCGTAGTAGAAAATATCTCAATAGAGATCATGCAGCGGCAAACCAAAGACTAATTGACGACTACTTTGCCAATGAGCCTACATATGACGATGCAATGTTTCGTCGTCGGTACCGGATGAAAAAAAATGTTTTCCTTCGAATCGTTGGGGACCTTTCAAGTAGTGATAACTACTTCACCCAGCGAGTTGATGCAGCCAATAAAGAAGGTATATCACCCTTAGCAAAATGTACCACAGCAATGCGAATGTTAGCATATGGTGTGGCAGCAGATGCGGTCGATGAGTACATCAAAATAGGAGGTACTACAGCATTGGAGTGCTTACGTCAATTCTGTAAAGGAATCATACGCTTGTACGAGCAAGTGTATCTGAGAGCACCAACCCAAGATGACCTGCAAAGAATACTGCATGTTAGTGAAATGCGGGGGTTCCCAGGGATGATTGGGAGTATTGACTGCATGCACTGGGAGTGGAAAAATTGTCCTAAAGCATGGGAAGGACAATTTACTAGAGGGGATAAGGGAACCACCACAGTTATTCTTGAAGCAGTTGCATCTCATGACCTATGGATCTGGCATGCCTTTTTTGGATGTCCGGGAACGTTGAACGATATAAACGTTCTAGACCGGTGTTTACCTTGGTGTTTGGTAAACAACCGCTGATCCTCCAAATGGTTACTTATTTGGTTACTCGCTGGATCGATCAGATTGATCCTAGGACATAGGTTGATTTTGAAATTTGATTAAATTGGATAAGGCTTTAAATAAAGAGGCTTTAAATAAAATAAAGAGGCTTCAAGTAAATTGCATGAAGAAAGGACTTGGTAAAATAAACAAGGCTTTAAATGAAAGGGTTCGACAGAAATGTAAAGAAGAAAGCAAGTAAATTTCTGGAAAAGTAAATGACTTTGATTAATAAAGTTGGTGTTTCACACATACATTTCTCAACAATTCTTTCTCACACGCTGGGTACTCGAATCTATATGAGTGACTTTTGTATAGAATTGTGAACACACGCGAGAACTTACATGACTACTACTATTTATACTAAAACATCCCAAGTAACCGTCGGGCAGTTACACTGCTTCGAGATGACTCCACTTGGCACGTTCTCAACGTTCGACGCTCCAAATCTTCACACGTTGCACTTGGTAACCGTCGGAAACCGTTTTCCCTCCAAACGCTTGAATTTCAAACTGCTCCATTCTGAACCATCGAACACCTTCGTCGAGAAGCATCTTCGACGAGAAATACCTTCGACGTCGAAGGCAACCAACTTCTCCCTTGGAAGAAATCTTCTAAGTACTTTTCCATCTTTCGACGGGCATTTCGACAGACTTAGCCAGTCGAAAACATCCTTCAGCTTTAATGGCTGACATTAATAAAACAAGGGTGTCGAATTTAGGAGCCAACAAATTGCCCCCCAAGAATGCCTTATTTCGACTCTGAAAGAAAAAGGCATTCTTTGAAACGCCATTCGACACCTGTCTTTTCACGCTTAGTCACAAATTAATTTGTGCACTTTTTGTTGTCTTCTACCAACCACTGGCAATCCCAAGAAAACCATCATTTATCCGTACCTAAGACGTCACTTTCAGTACGGCGTGCAGTACCAAACGTCATTTCAGAATTTGTCATTATGACAAATCCCAAAAACGAGGACGCACGCTGTGTCCCTCTATTTCTGCAGAACGGCTAAAACCACAGGGGGATGCCACGTGTCCCACTAGCTCCTGCAATAATTAAATGGCATTTAATGTCCTCGGTTTTGGGGATTTTCCCCCACTACTATAAATAGCAGTAAGTACCCCATTGTGGGACTTTTTACGCCATCTAGCTTTCAAACTTCTCTGTTTTCATACAAACTTGTCATCTTTGCAAAAAACCTTTTCTCCTTCACTTCGTCTTCAACCTCACCATTAACAATGGCATCTGGTTCCAATGCTCCTAGCGCTACCGTACCATCTGAGAACGCCAAACCTAAGGTTTTCGTCACTGCTCCAGTAGTAACTTCTACGGGCCAACGAAGGGTCCCTGAACCCTTAGACATCGCCGTTCGTGATGCTTACTCACACCACCTTATGATCCCGGTTGGATACTCCAACCAGATCTTTGCTATGTCTGGCCCCTTGTATCCAAGTATTGCTGAGGCCATGAAGATCAAGAGTTATTTTCCGGTAGTTGAGAAACTCAAACCGGTTGCATGCGCCAAGAAAGACGCAGAAGACAATGAAGACCCTGCGCATGAAAAAATCGACCTCCGCTTCTTCAACAGAGGTGTTAGGGCTTTCAGGTCTGGCCCTAGCCTTACTCCTGATTACGTTGCTTGGCTGGAAAAGATGGAGAAGCGCCAAGCTTCGATCTGGAAGGATATGGGGATTTTCGACCTGGTGATGCTGTCGAAGACAGGTTTGAACTATTCTCCGGAGATGTTGATAGCTTCTCTGCTTTTCTGGGACTACTCCCACTTTACTTTCCATCTTCCCTGTGGGATGTTGACTCCTACACTCTTCGATGTGGCCGCTATCACTGGCCTTCGACCCACCGGGGACTACTTCGATCCGGAGGAGATGTCGGAGGATCAAATTGGATTCTCTGACACCAAACCAACATACACCACTTTCATCAACCACTATCACGACAGGTCGACAGATGCTGTGTTGGATGTCGAACACATAGCGTTTCTAGCCTTATGGCTGACTCGCTTTGTATTTTGCTCGAAGTCCTTACAGGTGACCAAAAAGATGGTCACACTCGCCACTCAACTCCATCATCGCCAAAATATCTGTTTGGCAGAATTGATTTTGGCTAGCCTCTATGATTCGATCAGCAATGGGGCAACTCTTCTAAAAATTATCGAGAACAGGGCCAGTTTGCTACTTGCTGGGCCTTTTTGGCTGCTCCAACTGTGGCTCAATGCCACCTTCGAATCTTTCTTGCCTAAGAAGGTTCAAATAAATGAGCAGGCTCCAGAGATAGCGAACAGACGCGTCGAAGGAACCAGACTGGCTCTGTTGACGCCTATGGAAGATGGACTGGAGTTTCAGCAAACCTTCACCAACTTCGTTCTGATGTTTGCTCGAAGGAAAGAGTTTGCTTCGACTATGGCTCCGTTTGCTCGACGGAAGGTAGGCCCAGCATGGTTCACAAGGCCACATCCAAAGACGTCGAGTGGTCCTAATGTTGACGAACATACAATACTGTGGGAGGCGTTCCTCACACCAAGGATCATGCCTCTTTGATTCAGGAGCTCTAAGACTCACTTGAGTCTGATTGCATACCAACCAAACCTGGTATCTCGCCAGTTTGGTATTATTCAAACCCTACCTTCTCCAATTTTTCCAAGAGAGAAGTCTATGTTGTACTTCTGCAATGATTACACCGAAGAAGCTGCCATTAAGCATATCGGAAGATATGTTGGTCGAACAGTTCTCTCGTTGTTTGACTACCAGCTCAACTTTCTTTGCTCACCATCCTTCGAGGAGTGGTGGAAAAGTTATTACGCTGAGGAGTTTTTCGACGAGAAGGACTTCGTGGATGAGCTTCAGAAATCTTTTGTCCTTGTGTTTGACAAAATAAAGAAATGTAAGTTCATCCTCTCACATTACTTTGTCTTTCTCTTTCGACTGCTAGCCTGTTAACTATTTATTTGATTTCAGTTGTTCGAAAGCCTGTAGCCAAGAAGGCTGCAGAAAGCCAACAGGGAGGAGGCCCCTCAACAAAACCTCCACCGCCGGCGAAGACCATAGCGCCGGCGAAGACTACAACCAACCAACAGGGGGAGGGTCCTTCGAAGAAACCTTCTGTATCGTTAACCAGACTTTCATTATTTTCTTCTGGCTTTCGATTTTTTGACTTTTGATGCAATTGCTAAATCAAATTCCCATTGGTTTTTTAGGCACCTTCGCCCAAGAAACGGCCAACACTAGTGGTCTAATCTGGGAGCGATGAAGAGGGTGATTCTCCCCCTGCTCCTCTAAAAAGGCGAAAGCTGACGAAGGACGCTCCTGCTCCTGCTCCTGCTCCTGAGGGTCGAACAATTAGAATCAAGGTTGCTGGAAGAAAGCCCAGGCCACCCCCAGTGATCATTGAGGAGCCAACGGAGGAGGAACTAAACGTTCTTCTCAATAAGCCTGTCGAAAGCGACAATTCCAGCCCTGGGGCTGAAGCTAATCTACAGGTAATCTCTTAGACCTTTTTGTAACTTAGGTGTAGATACCTGCATTCGATTATGTCTCTTTCGATTTCTGAAGATTCTTCTTCTTTCCTTTTTCAGGACACCACTGAAAGCTCTCCGCCAAGGACCTCTGAAACACTGGAGTCTGCTGAACTCAGCAGGCCACAAGAAAAAGGCTTGGAAACTGACGAAGCCCATACTGAAATAAATGAGGCCAATGCTGAGACGGTAGAAAAACCAGCAGAGGATCCTCAAACGGAAGAACAACAGCCAGAAGAGGTTCAGGTGGTGGATCTGTCGGAAGAGAATCGTGAAGAAGGGGACCAAGGCAATGCTGGCGAAGAAAACCAAGGTGCTGCTGGCGAAGAGAACCAAGGTGACACTGACGAAGGGCACCAAGGTGACGCTGGCGAAGGGCACCAAGATGATGCTGGTACTGCCCCAGTCCGAGTCGAAGGGAAACAAGTCGAGACACCTAACACTGAACAGCCTCAAACCCAAGACAATGTTGTTGCAAGGGTTATCTAAACGAAGCACATGTCAAAAGAGGACTTAGAACTCTTGAAACAAACTGATCCTGTTAGCTATCTCAACGCAATCATCGAGAGCAAGAGTTCATCCGATGCTAGTCAGGAGGTTCCTACCCTGTCGGGTAAGTCCACTGAAACCTCTCCTCTTGATGAAGCTTTAGCGAAGGTTAAGGCCCAGTTTTTCAAGAAGGACTTGATGAAGGCTTTAGAGGGGGACCCCACTGCTCCATCATACTTGAGGGATGTTTTGAATGCTGTCGACTTGTTAGCTGTAGCTCCAGAAGTTTCAGGCTTGATCATGGAGTTACACTCTATGATTGATCAAGTCTCAGTAGATTATAGGCGCCAAAGGGGTTTTAATAGTCAGCTTGAGGTGTTGTATGGCAAAAGCTCCTCTGCGTGGACTGCTGTTTCGGATACGACTTCTCGAATTGCGGAGTTGTCGAAGCAAAAAGCATCTACGCAGGAAGAAGTCGATGCCATTGATCGAGAGAATGCTTCCTTCAGGGCACAAATCGAAGAAATAGAGGCTAAAATAAATGCCAACACTAAACGCAAGGAGGAACTTCTTTCGACCATCCCAGACACCGAGAGTCAAACTGAAATCAAACAGGGCCTGGAATTTGCTGAGAAGGCCCAAGGCTTCGACGCTCAGATTGCCAAGCTTGTGCAGGAGAATGCCTGGTGCAAGAAAAGATTGGAGCTGCAGCAAGTCAAATACCTTCGACTTAAGGACTCTGTTCCCTTCTGATTGATTCAGCTTTTGTAACCATATTTTGTAATCTATATTCGACAACATTGCCATCTTGGCTAAATTTATAAAAAATTTCCATTTTGGCTTTTATGGTTAATTTAGTCTTGTTATTTTATTATTTTATTTTTATCTCTTGGAGTGTAGGTTTGTATTTTTTCAAATATTTACCATTTACTCTCAAGAGCCTTTTATCTTCACCCAACTCTTCGACTTCATAGGCTCCCCCAGAAAAAGTTTGGATAACTCTGAATGGTCCTTCCCATTTGGGTGACCATTTCCCCATGCTTCGATCCCTTCGATCCATGGGAAGAATTACCTTCCAAACTAGTTCTTCAGGCAAAAATACCTTAGGTTTTACCTTTTTATTATAAGAGTCTTCTACTCTTTTCTTCTGAAGCCTGAGTAGGTCGAGAGCGTGCAATCTCTCTTCGTCTAAATCCACCAGTTCGTCTAACATCATGTTCCAATAAATTTCAGAGGGAATATCATAATGCTGCTGAACCGTTGCAGATTGAAGATAAATTTCTGCTGGCAACACTGCATCATGGCCAAATGTTAGCCTATATGGTGTTGTACCAGTGGCTTCTTTTGGGGACGTTCGACAAGCCCACAGAATCTGGTCTAACGTCTTGTGCCAATTCTTTGGTTTCTTCCCAACATGCTTTTTAATCAAGCCAATCACTACTTTGTTTGCTGCTTCGACTTGACCATTTGCCTGGGCATAATAAGGCGTTGATGTTAGGAGTTTGAAACCTGTTTCCTGAGCAAATTCCTGCATCTTTCGACCAGTGAAAACTGATCCTTGATCAGTTGTTATCGTCTCAGGGATTCCATACCTAAAGATAATGTTCTTTTGAATAAATTCAATGACATTTTCTTGATCCACATTGACTAAAGGGATAGCTTCGATCCACTTAGTAAAGTAGTCAATGCCTACCAGTATGTATTTCTGACTCTTTGATGATGCTGGTCGAATCTCTCCAATGAGATCCAACGCCCATCCTCTAAAGGGCCAAGGCTTCACTATCGAGTGAAGTTCGCTTGCTGGTACATGTTAGATGCCTGTATGGACTTGACACTCTTGACAACCTTTGGCGAACTCAACGCAATCTTTCAGCATAGTGGGCCAATATAGTCCTTGTCGAAACAATAACCATTTCATCTTATGGCCTGCTTGGTGAGCCCCACATGCCCCAGCATGCGTAGTCGAAAGGGCTATGTATGCTTCAGTTTCACTTAAGCATTTTAGCAATACCCCTTCAGGCGTTTTCTTGAATAACTCATTACCCATGAGTACATAACTCAACGCCCTGTACTTTGTTTTTCGTTCTGTCGAAGCTCCTGGATTTTGAAGATAGTCCACAATGGGTTTCCTCCAATCTTGCTCTGACAAATTATCTATGAACGAAATTTCGAAGTTACTTTGATCAGCATATCCTAGTCTCGTCGATTCCAAGTCCGTTGGTGATAGACAAGTTGCTTTTATCTTTTCTCGAACTTCGATTGCTCTTTGTAATCTCGTTTTTGAAATCTTATACCCAGATGCAATCTGTGCCAAGTCGTTGGCTATTTGATTTTCGACTCTGGGTATGTGTCGAATATTGACCGTTTCAAATTTTTTCAATAAACGATTTGCTATCACAAAGTACATAATGAGATTTTCTCTTATGCATTTATATTCCTTTGTGACTTGCTTAATGACTAACTCTGAGTCTCCCATTATTTCGACTCGAGTTGCCCCCAATTCCAACAATATCTCAAGGCCAGTAATTAGAGCTTCATACTCAGCCTCATTGTTCGAACAAGAACCTGATATTTTGTACTTGAATGTTGTTGGAATTTTATCTGGAGAAATAATCAAGACTCCTACCCCCGTTCCATCTTTATGGCTGGAACCATCGAAGTAGAATTTCCAAGGCTCTATCTCCACATAATTAATATCCTCAACTTGAATTGAGTGGTCGACTATGAAGTCTGCAACCACTTGTCCTTTTACTGCCTTAAGAGGCATAAAGGTCAAGGAGTATTCAGTTAATGTTAATGCCCACTTGCCAATTCGACTGTGCAAGATAGGTTTCGACAACATATACTTGAAAACATCAAAATGAGACGAAACATACACATCAACTGGTTTTATATATTGCTTGAGTTTTGTACAAGAGAAATACAGACATAGACACAATTTTTCAACTTCACTATATCTAGTTTCTGCATCGTTCAAAACTCTACTGAGATAGTAAATGGGCCTTTCGACTCCATTCTCATCCTCTTGGGCTAACATGCTTCCCAAAGTTTTGTCGGATGCAGCTATGTACAATCTCATACTCCTATTGCTACAAGGAGGCACCAAAATAGGTGGCTTAGTGAGGTACCCTTTGATTCTGTCGAAGGCTTCTTGTTGCTCTTGCCCCCATTCGAACCCCTCTTTATTCAGTCGAAGTAAGGGTGAAAAGGCCTGAGCTTTCCCACTTAGATTAGATATAAACCTCCTTAAGAAATTTATCTTGCCTAAGAGAGATTGCAGTTCCTTCTTATTCGATGGCGCTTTCGCTTCCAGAATTGCCTTCGTCTTGTTCTGGTTGATTTCGATTCCTTTCTTGTGGACAACGAAGCCCAAGAAATCTCCAGCTTTCACACAGAACGCACACTTCAAAGGGTTCATCTTCAGACCATGTTCTCTCATTCTTTCGAATGATTGTCGAAGGTGGTCAATATGATTCTTCCTGGAAACAGATTTTATAACAATGTCATCAATATATACTTGCATAAAAGTGTTAATAAAATCATGGAAGATAGCATTCATTGCTCGCTGGTATGTTGCCCCAGCGTTCTTTAGGCCAAAAGGCATCACTACCCATTCGTAAGTGCCTAAGGCCCCTGGGCATCGAAAAGCTGTTTTCGACACATCCTCTTCAGCAATGAATATTTGATTATATCCTGAATAACCATCGAGCATACTCAGGTATTCATAGCCAGCGGCAGAATCGACTAGCATTTCCGCCACAGGCATCAGATATTCATCTTTGGGTGTAGCAGCATTCAAGTCTCTGAAATCTATGCACACCCTTAACGTACCATTTTTCTTAATTACTGGCACAATGTTTGCAATCCATTCGACATACCTTGTAACACGTATGAATTTGCATTTCAGCTGTCTTTCGACTTCCGTTTTGATCTTCGACAGTATTTCTGGAGCGAAGCGCCTTAGATTTTTGCTTGATTGGCTTCTTCCCAGGTCTGATTGGCAACTGAAGTTCTACCAATCCTCTGTCGAGACCAGGCATTTCGTCATAATCCCATGCAAAACAGTCTTTGAACTCTTTCAGCAATTGGATTACTTCCAACCTAAGTTCTGGATCAATTTTGGCGCTGATGTAAGTTGGCCTTTTCTCTGACCCTTCGCCTAAGTTGATTTCTTCTAAAGGATCTTGCGCTAACATTTTAATGTTGTTCACCAAGGGGTCCTTTTCGAAGCCCAAAGGCTCATCGTCATAGATGGCGTCGAGCCTCTGTTCCTGCATTTCTTCTGGCATGATGTCAGGAGGCTTTGGATCGAAATCCTTTCCTGGACCTGCAGCAGATAATTTTTGATCATTGGCCTGTGTGGCCATGTACTTTACTTCGGCTTCGAGAGCCGTTATCATCTTGGTTTCGGCTACATAAGCCGAAATTCGCTTCAAAGATTGTGACTCAGTCATTATCACTGAATTCACTTCCCCAACCAGTTGGTTGGATATCAGTTAACCCACTGAAGTCTATGTGGGACAAGTCTTCTCTGTCCCATTGGAAACCATGCTCAGGATGCAGGTATAGGGAACAAAAAGTGTTTGGCGCTGGCTCCATGTCGAAGTCAGGTGTTGGACATGGCCCTATGTGAGCCAAGTTCTTGTCGAAATCTTCCAAACCCAGGTTATTCACTTCGCCTAGGTAATAACTTTGATCTGCCTCTATGTTTTCGACCATCCCATCTGGACGCCATAGGAGCAGCCTCTGATGCATTGATGATGGCACAACTCTAACACCATGAATCCATTCACGGCCCAACAAAAGATTGTAGTTAGGTTTGGCCGATATGACCATAAACATCGTTGGTCGAAGGATAGATCCTACTTTGATATCCAGCTGGATCACTCCCATAGTGGTCCCTATGCCGCCCTCATAGTTCGACAGGACCATGTTGTGAGGCTTAATGTCCTCATCCCTTTTGCCAATTTTCCTTAGCATAGAGTGAGGAATAATGTTGATGGTTGCCCCACAATCCACCAATATTTTATTCACAGTAGTTTCTTCGAGTTTAGCCCTTATAAACAAAGGTTTGAGGTGATTTTTCATCGCCTCTGTAGGTGGCTCGAAGAACCCATTTTGTTCCTCAGTGGTGCCATTGTCCATGACGAAATAGCACACTGGCCTGTGTTTGGCCATTTCTTGTTCCACTTCCCAGTCACTTACTTCGACCTCCACTTGTCGGTTGAATTCTCTGGGCAGCACTGAGACTATATTCACCATTATGTCCAAAGTATCATCAGACTCAGCATCGTCTTCGTCTTTGACTTCACTTTGGTTAGGCCAAACTAGCCTGTTGGTTACTGGCTCTCTTTCTAGAGGCTTCCTTTGCTTCCTTTGAGGAACATTCGAACTGGTTTCTGCCTTTGGTTCGTTGGCAGCCTCCCTTTCAGCTTTTCGTCTCCTTTGGTATCTCCTCCATTGAGATCGAGACATGGGATTTTTACCTTTGTAGTTGCTGGACACTTGTGCAACTTTAGGTGCAGCAACCTGAGGCTCTTTCTTTTGAGTCAAAGAAGAACCCCTTGGCACATCGAAAGAGTGCCATCTCTCCTCGCTTGGCCTTTTTCGACCAGAGGTTTTGTACCAAGTATCTACTGGCACATTTGTGGGAGGCCTAAAAGTCAATGGCCTCTTTTCTTGGTTTGAACCTCTTTGGGAGGCTCGTCTGGGGTCATGTCGAAGATCAACATTTTCCCTTCTCTTATTCGCTGCTCTTACGCCTTGAATGTGCTCAGCAGCTTTTTTGTCAAAGATCGAACTGCATCTTGGACACAGCATCACCTCTGATTTCTTTTTCTGGCATCTTTGTAGAAAATCTGCCAAATTTTCATTTTCCCGAGGGAAAGCAGTCTTATTAGCTTGTTCTTGCCTCATGGTCTCTTCTGATGCTTTTGGGTCAGAGAGTTCGACCATGTTGATATTCATTGTATCTTTGTTAGCAAGAGTTAACTGCTTCATTTGTATCTCCAGATTCTCCGTCTGGCCTTGAGCTGTGGCCAAGTGGGAACTGGGTTTTGGTCCAGTTTTTTGTGCTTCAGCGGTCTCCAACTTCGGGCTTTCGACCGCTTTCTGAACAGCTTCAATTGTCTTCCTGGATAAATTTCCAGAAAAACTGCCAAAGATTGGCATGTTGATGTGGTCCTTTGAGACTTCGACCATGGTAATTCCTGGCTTCTTCGACTGGCTCCTGGTTGCCTCTATCACGTTCACCTCAGAGGGCTCAGCATAGTGGGCTTCAGCCTGCAATGGATTTGAGTCGACAGCCATGGGGGTTTTGTCAGCAAACTTCAACCTCCCTTCTTCGATAGCGTCTTGCACAAGATTCCTGAAAAGAAAACATTGAGAAGTTTTATGGCCCAAAAAATTATGATATTTGCAAAAACCTCTCTTCTTTCTTTGATCAAGAGGAGGCACTTTTACCCCTGGGGGTACTATCATTTGGCCATCTTTAACAAGCAAATCGAATATTTCATCACATTTTGTGATGTCAAAACTATAAGTCTTTTTGGGGAACCTATCGTTGGTCCTTTCTGGACCAATGGGATTTTTCCCACTTGAAGGGACTAACAGTTTACAAGAGTATGGTGGCCCTTGTTTCAGTTCTGCTAAATCGACTTCTCCTTCTTCGACAGCTAAAGTATCATCGAAGGATTCCGGATCTTCGTCATCCATCTCAACGTATGCTATCCTCTCTCTCTTGTGAGTTTTCGTTGCCTTTGATTTTTCAGCTTTGAGGCGTTCTACCTGTCGAACTCTATCGGCCAGTTGGGCCATGTCTCTCAGGTATTGGGTGTCTAGCTTCTTCCTAATGGAATAATCTAAACCGCCTGCGGCTATTTCGACTAACTCATGTTCTGGCACTTGTGTAAAACATCTCGCCTTGAGCAACCTAAACCTATTTAGATATTCGTCTATAGGTTCAGTGAAACGTCTCTTCACACTGGCCAATTCTTTCAGGCTTATCTTGGTTTTCCCCATGTAAAATTGTTCATGGAACAATCTTTCCAACTGGGTCCAATGATGGATCGAATTGGGGGGGGAGAGTTGTAAACCAAGTAAAAGCGTTCTTTGTTAAAAAACTTGGGAAGTACTTGATCCTTAGGTTTTCGTTATTCGAAATGTCACCTGCTTCGATCAAGTATCTCGCCACATGCTCGACAGTAGATTCTGTCGTGTCCTCAGAGAACTTAGTGAATTTGGGGACTTTACATCTAGGAGGTAAGTCTGTTTGTAACACGTATTCTGACAATGGAGATGTAAAGTTGGGCCTTCGAAAGCCCATGTTCATCCCATTCTGAGTCATGATCCTTTCGATCATGGTTGCCAGATTGTTTTCCAAACCCATGTTTTGGTATTGGATATGCTGAACTACTTCGTTAGCATTTTGGTTTCTGTTAATTAACCTTACCTCTGGGGTTATTACCCTAGGTTCCTCGACGGGTTGCTCCAATCGCGCCCTAAGGTTTTCTTCGACAGGCTGTTGAGCCTGGTTAATGGTGGTTTCTTCCTCTAAGAATATCCCCTGGTTTCCCCTTATTTGCGCCCTTTGGGGCTGTCGAATGGGTTGGGGTACTCCAAAGAAATCAGCTAAACGCGTCATTTGCGCTGTCACTTGGTGATTCGATTGAGTAGTGTTTTGTATTAGAGGGTTTAGCACTGTACTCAAAGTTTGTGCCAACATTTGCACCATATCATGGTTGCTTTCGTCCATTTGTTGCCTCAAGACTGCTGTCGAGGCATTTGTAAGGCCATGGGCTACTTGGGACGTTCCTCCTAAGAGTTGGGTCCTATTTCTATTCGCCATGCCTACTCCAGAACCTTGGAGTGGCGAAGAGGCACTCACTAAAGGGTCTGAAAAAGTGGACGTAGCATTCGTCAGGCTAGCCAATTCAGAAGTTGGCATACCATAGAGTGGTATAAATCCTGGTGGCGCAAAAGGTCTTGTGCCTAAATTTCCCCTTGGTGGGGGAGTTCCCAAAGGCATCCTGGGGCCCGTTAACGTAAGTAATGGCCCCGTTGCTGTGACCGTTACTGCTGGTGTCGAACCAACAGTTGTCGCTTCACTTACGGTCGTACTAACCGTTGCTCCCACACTCGTTTGTGGGATTTCGTTATTGTTTGGCGGATTCGCCATCTCTTCCCTTCTTCTGGCAGTATTGTTATCGTTAGTGTATATTCTACCACTTCTCAATAACATACAACACTCCTCGAAAAGATGAGATTATTTTCAACAATCAACACACAGTCCCACCAGGTGTGCCAATTTGTTTACCTTGGTGTTTGGTAAACAACCGCTGATCCTCCAAATGGTTACTTATTTGGTTACTCGCAGGATCGATCAGATTGATCCTAGGACATAGGTTGATTTTGAAATTTGATTAAATTGGATAAGGCTTTAAATAAAGGGGCTTTAAATAAAATAAAGAGGCTTCAAGTAAATTGCATGAAGAAAGGACTTGGTAAAATAAACAAGGCTTTAAATGAAAGGGTTCGACAGAAATGTAAAGAAGAAAGCAAGTAAATTTCTGGAAAAGTAAATGACTTTGATTAATAAAGTTGGTGTTTCACACATACATTTCTCAACAATTCTTTCTCACACGCTGGGTACTCGAATCTATATGAGTGACTTTTGTATAGAATTGTGAACACACGCGAGAACTTACATGACTACTACTATTTATACTAAAACATCCCAAGTAACCGTCGGGCAGTTACACTGCTTCGAGATGACTCCACTTGGCACGTTCTCAACGTTCGACGCTCCAGATCTTCACACGTTGCACTTGGTAACCGTCGGAAACCGTTTTCCCTCCAAACGCTTGAATTTCAAACTGCTCCATTCTGAACCATCGAACACCTTCGTCGAGAAGCATCTTCGACGAGAAATACCTTCGACGTCGAAGGCAACCAACTTCTCCCTTGGAAGAAATCTTCTAAGTACTTTGCCATCTTTCGACGGGCATTTCGACAGACTTAGCCAGTCGAAAACATCCTCCAGCTTTAATGGCTGACATTAATAAAACAAGGGTGTCGAATTTAGGAGCCAACAACCGGTCACCAGTGTTTGATGACGTGGAACAGGGAAAGGCTCCAAGTGTGAATTTCTTTGTGAATCAACGTCCATATAATATGGCATACTATCTAGCTGATGGTATCTACCCTTCTTATCCAACTTTCGTCAAATCGATTAGACTTCCTCAAAGTGAACCCGATAAATTATTTGCAAAATTTCAGGAGGGATGTCGGAAGGACATCGAACGTGCATTTGGAGTGCTCCAAGCTCGATTTAAAATCATCCGTGAACCAGCTCGCTTGTGGGACATAGCTGATTTGGGTATCATCATGAGGTCATGCATCATATTACATAATATGATTGTTGAGGATGAACGAGATTCATATTCTCAACGTTGGACCGATTTTGAGCAGTCTGGGGAAAGTGGATCTAGTGCACCACAACCATACTCGACCGAGGTGTTACCCGCTTTTGCAAATCATGTGCGTGCTAGATCAGAGTTCCGTGATCCAAATGTTCATCAAGAATTGCAAGCCGATCTAGTGAAGCACATATGGACAAAGTTTGGAATGTTCCGTGATTGAATTATTTGTGTGTTGTATTGCATTTTAAATTATTTGTATCGTACTAATTACGTTACTTGTGTGTTGTATTGCATTTTAAATTATTTGTAACGTACTAATTACGTTAATTGTGTGTTGTATTTTAAATTAATTTAAGATGATTTGTATCGTATCCAATTATTTAAATAAATTTTGTTTTTATTACAAAAAATTAAAAAATAAATTATTAAGTATTTATTATTTTAATTTAATTTTAATCGATAATTATAATTTTATGTAATCATAAAAATAAAAATAAAATTTAAATAAGAATATGAAAATAAAAAGTGGTGGGGTAGGGTGTTGAGTGAAAAACCATTGGAGAGGGTAAAAGTTGAATGAGTGTTGAGTTATTAGGTAGAAGAAAGAGAAAATGATGTGGAGTGTTGGAAGTTGAAAAAGTGGGTGTTGAGTTTTTCAACCATTGTAAATGGTCTAACAAACAACAAATTGAAGCTGGATGAAGAAGTTATCCACGTGATGCATTTGAGGAGCATAAAGGTATTTTGGTATTTAGAAGAACATAAGGTTTTCTTATATTGTAGATTACCTTGATCCACAAGTCTCTCCACCGTATCATCCCCGCCGTCGTATAAATTGCCGCCACTTGGACTATCACCACTCTTTCACTTGAATTTTTTTCTTTTCTTTTCATCGTTGTAAGGTTGAATTATTGTTGATTATTGGTGTTTTGACTTTTCATAAAAAAAAAAGTTGTTTGTTGAACATTTTATTATTAGGTGGTTCAATGTGCAGAATTGATATTTATTTTATATTGTTGTTCTTGACAAATTTAAACTATTGTAGATGCTTGTATAAATTATTGACATGCAAACTTATGAGTCTCAAAGTGGTTGGATGTATTGAATCAAGATGGAAATACAAGTGAAGGGGTGTATTCAGAAGAGGATGGTCAAGTGAAATTGAAGAGAGACCCATTGCACATCTAAGGCCCGAAAGAAGCATTGTGAGGCCCAAGTATTTGAATGATTATGTTACCACTCCTCTTAGGAAAATAGATAAGAAACGTGTTGCCTAGAGAGAGTGGGAGAAAGTATCTGTGCTATGAGTCATCATAATTCTGATATCCAAGTTGTTTGGATAAGATTGGTGAGCTGTAAGAAATGCATATTAATACTCATATTTTTAAGGGGGTAACTACAAACAAAACTAGAAATATTTTTGTTAAATGAAAAAATATATATTATTATATTCAACCTACTATGGTTACTAATATTAATTTTGTTCACATTTGTTAGGTTATTTTATTTGAATAATGTGATCAAAATATGACATCTTTAAAAGATGATTCAAGTCAAAGATTGATATTTATAGAGGAAGAGGAGAAATGAATTGAAGTGTGAGTATGAGTCTTCACAATATATGACATGTCATCAATGCTAATACAAATGGAAAAAGTAGCATCTAATATATGAGTTGTTTCAAAACGAAATGATTCTTACACTATGTGAATATGTCATTATTATGGAGTACCAAAAAAAAATATTGGAGGGTGTCATTTGAATTTGAGACCTTTAACATATTTTGTTCACATGCATTAAGTGTTTGAAGTGAATGACACGAAGAGCATTGTCCAGAAGCATATTTTAAGGACGTGGACAAGACAACTTTGTTATGGTATCGTGCAAGATTCTAGGGAAAAAGAGATTGAAGCAGATCCAAAATTATCTAGAACACATAATATTAGACACGTTGTTACTAAATTTACAAAAGTGGTGATTGTTGATGAGAGCATAGACCTAATGTATAAGAAAATAATAGAATGCCACACACAAACAAAAAGTAGTGACAATAATAATAATGATAATCTGACGCCAACTCTTTATCCATTAAAAATTAATGGTATGAATTCTATAAATTGTCCTTTTATTATAAGTTATTTATATTAATTTTTTTAAAAAAATAATATTTACTTTTTTCATTCTCATCATCTTCTATTACTACAAATTATGTGTCCAATTTCACCAATCTATTATAGATCTTACTCTTTTTAAAATTGACACGCGTCATTTATCTTTCAATCTTCATAAATTAAATCATAATTAAGTATTAAATACATATTCTCTTTCTTGATTAAAATTTAAATCTTTATTATATATTTTTTCTCACACTTTTTCACTTTTATTTTAATTTTTTTCTATATTCATTTATTTATCGTTAAAAATACTAAAAAAATATTTTTTTTTAATTTTAATAAAATTAATAATTTATTTTATTTTACGTGTCACTATTAATATAATATTTATTTTATTTTAATCAATTATTGTATTAATTTGAGAGTCAAAATTCTTATTTTTAAATATTATTATTTGTTTGTTTCTTCATTTCACAGTTTTTTTAATAATTATTTAATATAATTAAATTTATATGATAATTATTTATTTTATAATTAAGTTAATAATTTTAAATTTTGAATGTATATCTAAATATATTAAAATCATATCAAATAATTTTTTTATCTAACGAATCATTCTCAGCGTAATGTCTATTTTATTTTAATCAATAATTTATCTTGATTTAAAAGACAAAATCCTTATTTCAAAATATTAAAATATTCTTATTTTTATTCATCTCACGTGTTATTCTTTTCTTTTGCATAATAATTTAATACAATGAATTTATATAATTATTTTTTATTTTATAATTAATTTATTTATTTCAAATTTACATATGTATATAAATATAATTTATATTATATCAAATACATTTTTCATTTCGTATATATATATTTTATTTTAATCAATAATTATTTTAATCAAAAGATAAAATTATTATATTTAAATATTAAATATTCTTTTTTTTTCATCTCACAGTTTCTTTTTTTTTCTTTGGATATCTTTAGATGTGTTTGTTTTGGTGCTAGAAAAAAGATTTTTGAAAATGTGAGATTGAAAATAATTATTCTTTTGTTTGATAAGTGGAAAAGAATAAAAATGTCTTGAAATAAATTATATTCAAGAATATAAATTATTTATGAAATTTTAAATATGTATTCTCATGTCAAAGGATGGGAATAACAAATTATCAATTATAATTACCAATTTTTATATTATTTCAACATATTATTTTATATTTTTTTAAAATTTAAAATTATAAATAAAATAAAATTAAAAAAATATTCTTAAGAACTTTAATTATTTATCAAACAAATTGATGTGAATAAAACTCTTGACATCAACATTTTTAGGAATAATATTTTTAGAATTGTAATTTAAATTTCTCAAACAAACATATCATTTATATTTTAATATAATTAAATTTATATAATTATTATTCATTTTAAATTAATAATTAATTTCAAATTTAAATATATATTTAAATATATTTTATACTATAACAATAATTTACTCATGCAGACGTACGGATATCTTATTAATTTTTATATTATAATGTTATGCAACTAAAATGATTCAAAAAATAAACTCGCATAATCTATCCTTTAAAAGAATTGAAATAAACTTGGTAACTTGAATCGAATCTAACCTCCATGATGATTCAAATAATCAACACATAAGTGATGAAAAATCAATTTTAAAAACATATTCACCTTAATAGCCCCTTTTATTTTTATAGAGGAACCTCACAGGTCTTTAATGAAATCTTCCATTTGAATTACACATTTTCCATCCCAAAAATAATTTGAAGAATTACAATGTTGGTGTCTTAAATTATACACATATAAAATTATCATATAAATAAAAATAAGTTGGCGCCGCAGTAAATGAATTCAATCGATTATAATATTAGTTCGATTATGGACTCCATTACTATTAGAGTATTAGTGGTAGTTTTGGTGGTGGTGGGGAACATAACATGGACATAAAAAGAAATTTGCGTGGGTCCAATTTAGAGCAGAAAAGGAAAGAGTTAAAGTTTGAGTGAGTGGGGAACTCTGTAAATGTATATCAAGTACATGAATGTGAAATATGAATAATGACTTAATGGTTCTATGACTCATTATAAGTTGCTTTTTATCCTAAAGTTGGTACATAGCGTGAAATGCAAACTTGTAGACGTGGATGAACTAAAGTCACATATTCTCCAACTTTGTGGCAATTTTACTTTCAATCATGCGCGGCAACAACACCCAAATGTGGCCATGAATGTCTTGTGTACATTGTTTCAATCATTTGTATTTTTGGTAGAAACTCGTCATAGTCAATTAGAGTTTTGGCTCACGACTCTTTCTCACTATTTTAGATTGTGCTACTATTGGACATAGATTGAATTGTGATCTTTTGCACAACATCAACAATAGTTAAATAGTTTCATTCATTTGGTTGTCGTGCTATTTTAAAAAAGTTATAGTATACTTCTATTTTTGTGAAAGATGAGTTAGATGATATTTATAAATATAAAAAATAATAAATGTTTTGAACCGATTAGAATAGATAGTCATGTGTTTACGGTTTGAAGAGTTGTACGATCCATTGCATTACATGCAGAATAAGTAGGCTATTTTAGTAAAAAATCAAGGGATCTCAATCCATGGTAAATTAAATGGATTTTAGCATCACATGCCAAGAGACCAGCGTGCGGTTATAACCACCCGACTATATAAGAGAAAAACACACATCATTTCTAAAGTATTTTTGGAATTCAAATTTCATTCGTTCATCTCACTCTCATACTGATTTGAGTATTAGAGTGCTAATCTTGCAGACCAGTCTCTCTTCTACCACATCGGAAGCTCAAGTCCACAATTGTAATCCCTCAACATCGATCACCAATCAATTTTGGTTCTCGCGCAAAAAAGTGACATTGTCTGTGGGAGGAGTCGACATCTGATTCCTGGGATTTCTATTGTTGAGCATTCATCTCTCGATTTATTAAACGGAGTTTCTTCAACCTAGAGATCCATATTTACTGAAACCGAACCATATATATCTAGTTCCTGGTCCACTCCGATCGTAGATTAACACTGTGTTTATCCTGAAATTGGTAAACAACGATAGTCTCTT